TTATTTTGGCTTCCTCTGTTTGCAAGTGGCTTCAGTATCTAACTTCTGCCCTGACACAAGATGGCGAAGGTGGTCACTTATTTAGGCTCACTGTTCAGTTGTGCTGCGGGGAGGGAGGAGCAGTGCAAACAGTATCACTGGCGTGTGTGGGGAGTGCTCGCAGTGTCTGGGCCACACTGGGTTTGCACCCGCTCACAGCATGTGTGCTTTCTGGGTCTACACTGCTCAGGCTCCAGGTTTCTCTGCAGGGGAACTGTCTAAGGCTGGCCCTGGGTTGCATGCACTTCCCAGATCTACGCTGCTCATGTTCAGGTTCTCGGGTACTCCACAAAGGCACAGACTCAGTTGGGCCTGCGTTTCATGCCCTTCCCAGGTCCAAGCAGCTCAGGCGACCAGGTGGTTGGCAAGCGCACTCTTCCCACCCGGGCGGTGCGTCTTATCACCTCTCTGGTCCCGGCCGCCCGGTTTCCTGGGTGCACAGTGGGAGCGCCGTCTCAGATGTGCCGTGTGTCTCTTCTGTGGCGCTGATCTCTGGCTGCGACCCTCCTGATGGATGTCAACCATCCAGGATCTCAGGAAGACTTGGTTAGCAACTGGGAGCCTCACAGTTTGGTAGGGCATACCATCTCTGGGGCCAAGTTTGCCCCTTTCCTTCCAGCTCTGGCTATCGCCCGCCTGCCTCCCTGCCTCTGGGGGGGGGGGGGGGCGGGGGGGAGGAGATGGGCCAGTCCACAGCCAGCTGACTCTCCTCTGGTATTGGCTCAGTCCTTTGTTCTGTGAGCAGGCCCGGCAGTGCCTTAGGTTAGAGCTTTTCATGGGAAAGTTCTCTCTCTCTCTCTCCTCTTTTTTTTTTTTTTCCTCTCTGGCTATCCCACAGTTTGGGTTGCTAATTCATGCTAGCTCCCTCAGATTGCCCTCAGGGCATTTAGGCCCGGGTCCTCACCCTAAGCAATGCAGCCCACACCTCCTGGTTCAGCCCCCACTTGCTGGTGGCAGATGCAAGCATCTGGGCTACTTCTCTGCTGGGAGTTGAGTTAGGCACGAAATCTGTGGGTTTTATTTACTTATTTTTTCCTCCCGGTTATGTTGCCCTCTGAGATTCTGAAACTCCACACAGACCCTCTGGTGAGAGGCTTTCCTGGTGTTTGGAAACTTCTCTTTTAAGACTCCCTCCCTGGGATGTGTCTCTGTCCCTAACTCTCTTGTCTCTCTTTTTATCTTCTATATTTTGTCCTACTTCCTTTTGAAGACAATGGGCTGCCTTTCTGGGTGCCTGGTGTCCTCTGCCAGCCTTCAGAAGTCGTTCTGTGGTATTTGCTCAGTGTTCAAATGATCTTTTGATGAATTTGTGGGGGAGAAAGTGGTTTCCCCATCCTATTCCTCCGCCATCTTAGGACTGCCCCCCTGAAGAATGTTTTAAAAATTGCTTAATTTTTGAGTAAAGCAGGGACATAAAAGCATGTGGAAATCTACATGTTTATTGTGTTTCTAAGTTTGTGGTACTGAATAACTTTCCAGAAATGAAAGATGACTCATAAACCTTCCTTCTGACTATAGTAATAATAGTAATATTCAATTATGTAATGTAAATTATTAGGCTGAGATGCATTTTGGTAAATTTGCACCTTATTAGATGAGCTGTCTTGCCAAAGCCTACAAAAAAATTAATGTGGAACACCTGATATTTGACTGTGCTTCCAGATGGAGGGACAGCTTGACAAATGCCATCATAATTTACAACTTCAAAAAGTGTACTGTGAATGCATTTGCAGTAAGCTTCAAACAGCTTGGATTATTTACAGGTACAACTGTGTTTAATGTGGAATTTCAATGGATTTAAAATATTATTAGATTCAATCACTGATCATGGAGTATAGGTGTGGCATATGAGCAATGTGGTTATACGCCTTAATTAAATATATCAGAATAGAATACATCTGTTTGGTGAGGTTGAGGGAATGGTAAAATAACATTTAAATTTTATATTTGATTACTGAGTACCACTGAAGAATCTCTCATCTTTGGAAAGACACCATATTTGGGGCTTATCCTGTATAGTGGTTTAAGAGAATAACAGTCACATAAAATAAAAATGGAAATACAGTTCTAACTCTTAAGGATAACAGGACACTTATACCCACAAAACAACCAAAAAAGAAGTATGGATTGCTAATTGATAAGATCTGTATTAGTGTGCAACCTAAAAGAACACTTAAATCTATATCTCTGTGGTCAGGAAATAAGTAGAACATTGAGAAGAATACATGGTAAAGTGAAACTACAGTTTATAAAACAAACTGGTTAGTGTGTAAATCTACTTCAGGATCTACTAAGTTCATTCAGTCACTCAGTATTTCTCTTCTATGTTTCAGTCCTCGCTTAGAAACTGAATATTCAGTAAGCTACCAAGCCAGATATGTACCCTTGCTTTCTGGTGCTTACATTCTAAATAGACGACATATATTAAACAAATCACACTCAAATAAATAGGCAAATAAAATCTGACAGGGCTATGGGGCTGAGTAGCTCAGTTGGAAAGAATCTGCCTGCAATGCAGGAGACCTGGGTTCCATCCCTGGGTTGGGAAGATCCCCTGGAGAAGGAAATGGCAACCCACTCCAGTATCCTTGCCTGGGAAATCTCATGGACACAGGAGCCTGGTGGGCTGCAGTCCATGGGGTCGTAAAGAGTCAGGCACGACTGACCGACTAACACTCACTCACTTACTTATGGAGAAAAAAATAGGGTGCCGTGAAAGGATAACAGAGACAGGGTGGGTCTAATTTTGTTGGTGGTGGGGATGGGTCAGGGGAGGTTTCTTTGAGATCTAAGGTACCAATGGAATGGAGCATATGCACAAAGGGAGAAAAGTGGTAGAAGAACAGAAGAGTCCTTTGTAACTGGAACACAGTGACTCTTGGCAAGAGAAGCCCTAGAGTGAAGTTGCGGAAGAGGGGAAGGGCTGGTTATTCAGAGGCCACTATGAAGTTTGTATTTTCTTCTGAATGCAGCGGGAATCACTGAAAGATTTATTCTCTGTGCGTTTTATGAGCCAATTAATACTTTTTAAAGCTTAATCTGTAGTGAAAAAGAGTAAGAACAGAAGTTGCAATACAATCAGCTCAGCTCTTGGTGGGTTCAGTGAAGGTGGAGAAATGAAGAAATGTTCCAAGATGTGTTTAAGAAGTTGAATCCTGAGAGCTTGGGGATGCTCATTAAATATGGGAGAAAAGAGGAGTCAAGAGAGATTTCAAGGCTTCTGTGTAACTTTCTACATTCTCTTAATACACTACTTAAGAAAAATGTATCCATCTCCTAGTAAATTCCAGGTTCTGGAAGGTAGTCTGGTGGTTTGTTTAAAGAAGTCTTCCCACCCACTCATGAGAGTGAGCACTCACACCCCATTCAGTTCAGTTCAGTTCAGTCTCTCAGTCATGTTCCACTCTTCACGACCCCATGAATCTCAGCACACCAGGCCTCCCTGTCCATCACCAACTCCCGGAGTTTACTCAAACTCATGTCCATGGGGTCAGTGATGCCATCCAGCCATCTCATTCTCTGTCGTCCCCTTCTCCTCCTGCCCCCAGTCCCTCCCAGCATCAGGGTTTTTTCCAATGAGTCAACTCTTAGCATGAGGTGGCCAAAGTATTGGAGTTTCAGCTTCAGCACCAGTCCTTCCAATGAACACTCAGGATTGATCTCCTTTAAGATGAACTGGTTGGATCTCCTTGCAGTCCAAGGTACACCCCATTAATTCTATCCTAATCCTTCTTTTACCTTCCAGGCAGGCATCTCAGTCTCCTATTAGTTTGCTCATTTCTGAGTAACTTTCCATGAGAGTGATGTTTCTTCTTGAAGACTATAGCCAGAGCACCTAACACAGTGTTTGGTAATGAAAATGTTCCATAAATATTTATTGAATGAAATGATGAACTAATGAAAGAATAATGATAAAGAGGAAATACTAGAACCCAAGGTGCTCACTGTCTAGCCAAGAGAACTAAGAAGTGTGATAAAATCCTTAACAGAAGTAAGCAAGACGCATTTCAGGAGAAGGGAGGACGATGGAGGGAGAATGAAGAGAGACATCTGGAGTACAGATATACTCAGAGGAGAATATTTGCTGGATTGAGACCATCTCCAAATGAAATAGCTCCCCTCTCCGCAGCGAGCTCTAAATCAAAACGTAAAGAACAACTCTTGACAAGAGCTTCACATTTTAGAATTTTTTTTTTTTTAAATGCCATTAGAATGGATTGTCCTGCAAGTATACAACCTTGATTTTGGATCACCTACAGACAGGACTTACTGCTTGCAGCTTCTGACTGTAGAAATTTTTGCTCACCTCTTTTCCTGGTCCCTCTTATCGTCGCCCCCGCCTCGTTCCCGCTCCCAGGGACCGTCCATTTTCAGAAAACCCTTGCCCTTGCCTGTTCCCGCCTATTTGTTGAATGCATGGAGGAACATTTACTACCTTATCCCTGAGAAATTCTGAAGCTGCAGTTGCCAAAAAACAATGTTTCTGCACCTCGCAGGGTTCCTGCGGAAGGAAATAAAAGGAATAATTTGTTACTTAGGGCGCCGATTGTTTTTACCTTTAATCCTGTGGTTCTCTCACATCTAGCCCCCACCTACCTAGCTCTGCCTCGAACAGTTTATAGAGCAAAGGCCAGTCCGGAACGCCAGTGCGCTCTCTCCCTCCCTTCCCGCCGCGAGTAGCAGGAAAACAAGCTGCTAGTTGGAGGGGCGGGGGCGGGAGCCGGGGCCGGGCTCCAGCCGGCCGGCTCTGCCCGCTGTGCGGGGCTAGAGTAGCCGCAGGGCCCCGCGCGCAGCCCCGCCCCGGGGGCGGCACCGCCCGGCGCCCGCCCCGCCTCCGCGCCTCCGGCCGTCCGCTTCCTATTTCTAGGGGCGGTCGGGCAAGCTGTCACTTTCGTGTCTGGTTGAAGCCTGAGGGCGCGGAAGGGTTCGTGGCAAGGAAACTCCAGGCTCTGGGCATCGTCATGGCCCCTGTGCTAAGCAAGGACGTGGCGGATATCGAGGTACCGACTGCGCGCGGGCTGGCGAGGGGCGGGCGGGGAGCGCAGCGGGTGGGTGCCCGAAAGGGCGCTGCGGCCACCGCCGGGCCGGGAAAAGAGTGGGAGACTCGGGAAACTTTGCCTCCGCGGGAAGTCTGCGGAGGAGGAGGAGCAGCAGAGGAGCCGGCGTCCGTGTGGGCTGGCGGGGAGAAGACTGGGAGTCCGCGGCTGCAGGGCTGTCCTTCGCGTTGGGACCTGGCTGTTTACTTCGGAGTCGGGGTCCGAAGTTTCTGGGTGGCCATGATTGAAGAACTGGAGGAGTTCGAGGGAGATGGACCTTCTCATAAGGGCGTTCATCTCCCAGTCTATCCCGCACCTCCTCTTTTTTCCCTGTAAGCGTTTTGGGATACCTGTCTGCTACCCCCACCTCCAGTCGCTGAATTCGGCATATTTGCAAAGGTGGAGGAAAGAAATAATGGAGATCTGTATGTAAGCGACAGCAGCCACTGCTAGCCTTAGTATTGCTTATGAAAGTAACATAGGGAAGAACGGGATAGGGTATTGAGAACATGAAAGATACAGTGCCTTCAGAAATACAAAATAAACTGTATATTCCTCTTCTCAACAGTTTTTTATTTTCTCTTGCACTCTGTTTCTGTAAAAATGTCATCTTTCTTCCTGTGAATAAAGCCCACCCTGAAGTAACATGATCGTTTCCTTCAATTTCTCCCTAGGAGGATCTTTATGTATGCGACGAGAGAGATATAATTTCAAGCAGTGATTTTAGACATACTAATCCAGTGTTCACAGTTCTGAGCTCAAATAAACTGCTTTTTAGTTTTTTGTTGTGTTTTGTTGGGGCTTTTTAAAATTTAAGTCTTCTGCTCTGGTAGAATGTACGTGCATGCCTGTGTTTTCTTAAGAAATGACATTTTCCTTTCCTCTGTCCTTTCAGTCAGTGGCTTAAGTAAAACTTTAAAACCACCTGTTTGCAAAAGAGCTGCTTTTGCCACTGCATTGCCTCTAACATTGATTGTAGGAACTTTGTGTTCTGTTTGGGGGATGGTAGTAGTGTTTTCTCCAGACTCCATACTTGGTTTGAAAAATCCATCTTAGTAATTAGAGCCAAACTATGACTGAGCACACACGCACATGCTATGTGTACATGTCTACTTAATTTTACTTGTGGTTTCTCTTGTGGATAGTTTACTTTTTCATATTGATCAGTGTGATATATTTAACCCAATATTTATTCATGCACAAGGTAAAAGATGATTGATTTATGTTGTCCTTTTTGGTCCTTGTTACATTGACTTAACCACCCCCCTCCCCCGCCCCCCCCTCCTTTTCAGCTAACTCAAATAGTAACCTTCTGACAACATTCATGTGATACTGATGTACTGATTTCAGAGTTAAGAATGCCAGAGGGCTGGCGGCTTTTGGATTTTGAATTTCTTTATCGGTGGCTCTTTTGCATTTGTCCATGAAATCAGTTCTTAACCACATTACACTAAGGAAAAGATGCCACTGAAACATTAATGACCAGTTTAATTTCATGACTTGTTTCAACTAAGACTATTTAAGAAGTTCAGACCCTTACATTTACTCACCTCAATCTAACCTTAGTCAGCCTGATATTACTTGTACTATAGAATAGAGGTATTTAAGCTTCTTCAGCTTTTATGTAATTCACACATTCAACACACTTTAATCAGTAACATCTTTCATCACACATAGTTATTTTCTTTTCCCTCAAAGTAATATCCACGATTCCCGAGCTAGAGTACCATGAAAGAGCATGAAATTCATCATTAAAATATAATGCAGTGTGGAAAAATACATTAAGTCTAGAGGAACACATTCAAGCGTAGATGTCTCAGGTGATCCTGTTGACTCACCAAAGTTCATTTTTTTGAATGAATTATGAAGGCTCAGTTTTCTATCAGATTTGAATGCATACATTGGATTTGGTTTTTTTGAATGAATTCATTAAAACCATTGTCTAGAAATTTATCTGCTTGTGACCATTGCCTTAGTCTCAAATATGTGAAGCATGCTATCTTTAAAAAAATTATCAGTATAAAACAGAGTACATGTTCAGTTGACAAATGTGAAAAGAACAGAAGGTGATAGTGACAACCCACTATAACAGTGATTTAATTTTCCCCTTAAGCTACCTATAGAACCTCAAGTTGCAGTGAAGCAGCCAAGAAATATTTTATTTCTGGGGCAAAAAGTTTTTGAGGTTTACAGAGTTATTTTGTTTGCTCACTCCATATTTCTAACCTCAATCCAATATTGCATCAGGGTTTGAAGGGCTGAGAGCATAAAAAACAATCAGAAGGTCACCAGATTCCAAAACTAAAATATCCCTGGGTAGAAAGATAGGCATAGAAAGGATGTCGTAGTAGATGATAGGTACTCGGCAATAGAACCTAGCTCACATACTCAAAAATTATTGTCAATGTATGAGAAATCAGACATTTCCCCAGATATGTTAATATGGTTCAGGACCACGTTGTTCTGGGATCTGGAGCAAATTGCCTGTGGTTGAGGTCTAGTTCTACACCTTTTTAGACAGGTGACTTTGTTTAAATACCTAACTTCTCTGTGTCAAATTTGCATGATTTGCTAAGTAAGGAAAATAATCAGACAAGATAATAAATGTGTCACACCTTCACATCTTCTCAAGAAAAGAACAAAATATGATAAAATTAAAAATTTTGAACAGCTAGGGAAAACCACTGCTTATGAAATAACTTATTTTAAAGTTCATTAATGGTAGCTATAGACTTTAAAAAGATATTTTACTTTGTGGGCTTACTTTTAGGATACAACTGAATTTTATCAAGAATGACTTTTGAATACAAATTCTTTGGGGAAGGTTTCAAAAAAGGTGACTGTCAGACATTGATCACTTTCCCTGACCTCAGCAATACCTTCAAAATAATTCACTTAGTTTGAATCGACAGCTGGCCTAATGTCAGTATCTGTACTTTTAAAAGCAAGTAAGAATGATTTTGGAAGAGTTCACTTTTGTTCAGTGTCTTGTTCCTCTCCACTGACATGGATAATTGAGAATTTACTATAGAAGTATAGCTGAAGAAAAATGCGTGCAGGTACAGTGAGCTTTTAATTAACTCTTTGGATATTAATAATTCTGGTAAGTATTTATAACTGAACTGAATTGCAGTCTTGCACTCTACTATATCCACAACCCCAAGTCAAGATTTATTCTTAGAATTATCAGTTAATGACTCTTTGGTAGTTATAAACTCATTTCAAATTTACTGTGAATGAAAAAAAAAGATTTCAGTCTAATATCCACAAAATCATACTTTTAGAGTTAAATAGAAATGTTTTTTGAACAACTGATCCTATAACTTCTATTCATTTGAGAAGACAGTCAAAAATTTTGTGTTTATTAATTAAGAAAATAGGATAATAAAGTGATGGCTTTGGGAAATGGGAGTATAATGGTGTAACAACTTGGAGAAACTACATTTTTAGGAGAATTTTGAAAAAAAGGCTAATTAGTTGGTACAGGTGGTAAAAGATATTGCAAGAATACCCTTTATTATAACTGCTTTTGCCCCTGGGGAGGGAGGAGGTAGATCCCAAGAAGAAAATAAGGACTCAGCTTTGCAGAAGGTATGCATTATTTATTTATATAAACCTAAATTTTTTTTAAGTCCAGTTTTGTTTACTTGTTTTTATTGATTGGGTGCCACAAATCTCTGGGAATGCTATCTTGACTTGCTAAGGCTTTTAAAGCATTAAAACTAAAATTTCATTTTTAATTTGTTTTGTGAGTTTGCATTGTTAAAAATATACTTGTTCTCCCAACTTTAAGCTGTCCTGTGGACAATACTTAATTTTAAAGTATTTCTCCTTTCTAAGGAATTGAGCTGGGCAATAGAAACGTGCCTGTTTATGTGATTTGGAAAGTTACTCCAAATTTGGAGTTATTTCAGTGGAAGCTTCTTGTAGCTTTAAGGTACTATACACATCTCTATAGTTAAGAATGGTCATATATATATATGTATATATATATATTTCATTATAGTTTTTCTTCTAAATTCTGCCTCCTACACATGAATTCAGATAACTCACTTTCAGTGGTTTAATTAAAAACTGTGAGATTAATGACTAATGATGAATCTATCACTAGGGAGATTTTTAGATTGGATCTGCTTAATCTTAATCATAGCAGATAGTGTTGACTGATTGCTTAATTGTAAAAGTGTGCTAAAACTCAATAGCCTCCTTTCTTACACTGTAGAAGGAATATCCAGTTTTGGAAAGCTCCACATTTGCAGTGAGGAATTAATAAGAATTCTATGAAGACCTCTAATCAAAATGCTGAGATAATTGGATGATCATTAAGCAATCGTATCTTTCCTTAACTATTTTAATACAGTATTTTACCATACTCTGTATATGAACTGGCAAAGCAAGAGCTTAAAAATAGGATAAACAGGTATGGTCACCTGTGGGAGAATCAAATAGCATAATGTTAAGTCACAATATTAGAAACACTAAGAGACAGTGAGACTGAAAAATATTTCACGCCATGAAATAACGTGACAAAGAAGCCATAAGACATTTGATATAGTCTAGGCCTCAGTGTGGCTAAAAAGATTGAAAATTATAACTGGTCAATTTGCCTTTCTGCTTCTTAGCTAAATGGACAATGATAAATAGTCCTTAAAACTGTAAAGAAAATTCTGTGTCATTTATATCCTGCCTTAATTAAAAAATACTTAATAAGGCATTCTAAGATTGTAAATTTATCTATAATCAGGATTTTGATTTTCAGATGTGACATGCTTGCCTTCTGGACTTCATTTCCTCTTAATCCTCCATATTAAGACAGAAGGTGTTTTTTGGCCTCAAACATCAATAATGTGGATGTTCATAGATATCCTGGAGCCAGTTATACTACTGATAACTCTTAATAGGATTATGTCTTTCCTGTGGTTTATAATTATTACTGCTTCCATTGCTTTTAATTAAAATGTTAT